AGCGCCCGGGTCTGGGAAGTGGCCCTGGGATCTGGGATTACCGGAACTGACGGATTCCGGGGGCCAAGGCTGGCGCCTGCCTCGCTAACACACACTCGGGCCCGGGGTTTAACTGCAGAGTCTCAAACTTCCACGCGTTCTTGGGCACGCGAGGCTGGATGAAGGAGGTGGCACTAGCCACGTGCCGGTTCCGTGTTAAAATGGCAGCCTTGCCCTTTCAACTGGGTTCCTTCCTAAGGAATCCGGCTACCTGTGTAGGACAGGCGAGTCCTCATGGTTCAGTCCCTAGGACACACTCTGTAATCATCTTCACCACCACCACCACCCCCCAAAAAAGATAATAGAGATGAATGAGCAGGTGTTGAAACCCAAAAGGACAATATTGTTGAAGTTGAGGCTTAGTAGCAATCGGAGTCAGTTCTGTTATCTATAATCTAGAGAAGACCCAGGTTGTGGTTAAGTATAATGGGTTTCTTAGCAGTGCATATGTATTCTTGGAGCTAATTTGCTTTCAGCTTATTTTTTTAATTTTAATATTTACTTTGTGTTCCTTGTACACATCCTCACTGGTGGCTGGTAATTGGCGAGGGGCCCAGAAATGGCAGGGGTGGGAAGTCAGCCTGAGAAGCTCCATGTTCCTTAGCAGGATTCAGAACTACATCTCAGTAGAAATTTCTAAAAGCTCAGCATATCTAACTAACTGCCTACCACGGGACAACAGAAGTCTTTGCTTTACAGAATAAAACAAGCACAAGACATAAAAAATGTTAAGGGTCGTCGCTCAGGGTGCTGGATCCAAAGTGAGTGAGATTTGTGTGGGACACTTGTGAATGGATGTAAGAAATCCCTGCTCCCCGGAATGTGTCTTTATACAATGTGTCGGTTTCATAGATCTCTGGTGTTGAGACTCTGAGAGCCAGAGGAAAAGGAACGCTATGCTGTCCTGCTGTTTAGGTCATTCTTTTCCATGAGAGGTCAAGGGAAATAAATACCGAACTCTGAATGAAATAGCAAGTTGTATAAATCTTGAAAAGTAAATATTACCTAGCTTGACACCAAACTGTTAGCCACAAGCAATAGCAATCGTTGGAAATCTGCCATAACCTATTCTACATATGTGACTTTGGCAATTCCAGTCTTAATAGCTGGTGAAAAGTCTTATACATGCCTAGCCCTCTTTCTTGCCCTTGCCTATTTTTTTTCTCCATGAGATAAAAGTATTAATTTTACATATTTTTGCAGATACTCAAATATAGTGAACTATTTTATTATACTCCTACACCAGCCCTCAAATCATTACCAATTCTCGTCTACCTCTCCAACTTGCCTTCTGTCTTCCCCTCCAACTCCCCTTCCATCTTTCACTTCTAAAAAGACAGAGTTAAAAGAATCAGTACTGTTTTTAAAAAGCTTGTTGCAAATTTATTCATGATTACAAGTATATGAGAATTTATATAAATATATAATATATATAAATACAGTAAAAGGGACTATTTAAAAGATTGTAGCTAAGACAGTGGTATTATGTATAATTTCCCCATGTGCTCTGTTTGTATTACATTTATAATTAATTAAATTAAAAATTTATAAAGAATGGTACTTGAGAAAGTTAAGGTCAGATTTCAGGAGATGGAGTCAGTCATATCAAGGTGAACACGGACTCATGCATCTGAGGGCAATGCGCAGAAAGCAGAGAATGTGAACTGGGGTGTGTGTGAGTACATAACAAAGAGGAATTTCATTCCAGATGCCTAAAGAGAATATTTCATTTTCAAAGCATAGTCAGGCTTTGATCAAAGGTGTAGACAAGGTTCCGAAGTGGCAGATAAAATGGTAATTTCCCTCTTACAAATCCATATTAAGTTAATTCATAGTTTAGAAGATTAGAATTATTAAATTTTAACAAAATAAAGTTTAATCCCTACAGATTTCAGACTGATAGGACCATTCCTGGGATCCACTCATGTATTGCAATATTGATATTCCTTGTGTTTGTTTAACCTTATATTGACTCTTCCATTGTTAAAATAAATAAAATAAAACAATTGTGACCTTGATCCAGGCTTCCTAGATCAAGTATCATCATCTAGCCCCATTCTAAATGAAACTGGGAGGAGAGTACTGAAAAAAAGATGGGTTTTTATTTACTTAACCTGATTCTTTCTTGTTCCAACCTGTTGAAGAAAGGATGTCAGATGAGAAATGACCGGGTGTTACCACTGGATTTGTAGGGAAATAACTAGGTTCCAGCCTTGCTCCTCCACTACTATTTGCCTCTAGGAAGCATTTTCCTTAAAGATCTGGGATAATGTGTAGTTTAAAGTTATGAAATTTTCAGGTTACCTGCATGAAAGTCGGAAAACCCAAACAAGCCTAGGCCAACTCTTTGGGCCTGAGGATGTATAGCTTATTTGGTTATAAAAGATGACTGTTGAGGAACCACTGTATGACTAATCTACCAAGTCCTAAGACTAGAGTAATAGGAATCTCCAATGAGCTTTCAGATGTGTGGGCGAATAGGGAAATGGTGACCAGAGTACTGAACCAATACTAAAATACATACATTTCAGCCCAACCTCCGCCTTTACTGGACTTGCTTATTTATAAATCCATAATAAGTGTTGCCTATTACTAGAACTGTTTAAGGTCAAGTAAATTCTTATTTGTAAGAATCATGTAAGTTTTTGTTTATAAAGCTTGTGATCTGAGGGAATTGACTCCATGGTTTCAGAGAGTGTCAGCATACATGTAAAAACACCAGGCATGGAAGCATGATCCTGTAATCCCAGCACTGGGAGCAAGTGGAGAAAAGAGGGTCCCTGGATCTTGTTGGCTAGCCAGTCTAGCACAAACAGCAAACTCCAGGTTCAGTGAGAAACCCCTTCTCAAAAAAATAAGGAAAAGAGTGTGTTGTTATTTTGTTTATGATCTAACAAAGCTTGCTTGAAGATCAGAGTGCAAATCTAGCCATACTAGTTAGCCATAGAGGTCAAGCAGTGGTGGCTCACACCTTTAATCCCAGCAGCCACACTAGTTAGCTATAGAGGCCAGGCAGTGGTGTATTCACCTTTAATCTCAGCACTCGGGAGACAGAGGCAGACAGATCTCTTTTAGTTCAAAGAGATCCTGAGCTATGCAAAATTGATCCAGTCTAAAAGAGAAACAGAGAACACACAAAGTTGGTCCCAGCACTTGGAGTCACACACCTTTAATCCCAGCACTGAGGAGGTGGAGACAGGAGTGATATGGTTGAGGGGAGACAGGAATATAAGGCAGGAGGAATCAAGAGAGAGATGCAGTCTGAGGAGCAGTGCAGTCTAAGCAGTCTAAGAATGCAGTCTGAGGACAGGATCGCCCCTTTGGTCTGAGCATTGGTAGCGTTAAGAACTCTCTAGTAGCTGGCTGCTTTGCTCCTCTTATCTTCAGCATTAACCTCAATATCTGACTCTGAGTTTTTATTATTAAGAACAATTAGAATTTGTGCTACAAAAGAGAACTAGAGAAAGATACCTAATGTCAACTTCTGAGATACATACATGAATACACAAGTATACACCACACACGTTAAACAAAAAGTATATATGCAGGACAGTGGTGGCCCAGCACTCAGAAGGCAGAGGCCAGTCTGGTCTTATATATATATATATATATATATATATATATATATATATATTTCCATCCACATGGAGGCAAAAGATTCATACACATAAAATATTTTTTAATTTAAAACATAAAAACAACTCATTAGCTCAATACAAAATAAACTTCCTACTTATTTGACCTAGAGGTAGAAGTATACCTAACCTTCCTCTGGCTAACTGTCTTTTTCCTAATCTTAGTCTATGGGTCTCCGTTGAGCTGCCTTGAAAGAAACCAAGATGAAAGTAGCAGAGACACTGAAGAGAAAATCTACACAGGCCCTCTCTTGAGTGCTCAGATTTTTCAGTGTGCCCAAAAGTGCATAGAAATTCATGTCCTTGTCACTATTCAGCAAGGCACTCTGAGGCTATGGCCCAAGGGGGCCCCAGGTACAAGTCACACAGAAACAGACCATGATTCTTCCATGTAATACTGATTCTATAAGCACACAACATCCAAGCATTAGTTTGCACTAAGAAGTCAAAAGAAAGCCTAAATATATAGTATATGTCAGGGTCAAAGTCCCTGCAAGCAGCC